GATAGAACAGTACCTTGGGATAAAATATTGGCTGCTGAGCCCTTTCCTTCTGCCATGGAAGCCAGTAAGATCATGCCTATATATGCACTTTGAAATGCAACAGCAAAGAAGTATACTTACATGCAAGTTCTTCTCCTTCAGAAAGGGCACTGAGTCCGACAATGAGGATGATGGAGTGTAACCAGAACCCCTTCTGCTCCATTCTGACTTGTAAGCCTTGGTCCTCGGAAAAGAAGAATGAGAACTTAGATCTAGGGTAAGTAGCTCTCACACTCAGAGGGATTCAATTTATACGCTTTTATGTTTGTGCAGTAGGCTCAGATAACATTTATCCAAATTATGCTCCACCTAGGATTTCCTTTTTCTTTTGATTAGAAAATGTAAATATGTGTCTTCCACATCTCTCACAGTGAAAGCCCTGTGAAAAATGGCATTACCATAGACCTTTAACTACCTCACCTAAGTTCATATCCAGTGTGGCATTCCAAACCTCTGAGCAGCTTTAGGTGTTGCTATGTTTCTTAAAATAAAATCAACCTGCCAAATATATGTTTTCCCTCCACATATGTGATTTCTGTCTCATAATCACTGGCCCAAGGCCCAGATTGGGTGATAATCTGTCCTGAACAAAGCTGCTATCTCACAACCTACAAACGCCATAGAAGTAGAAAATGTATAACATTAAGAAGCCCAGAACTATTGTACTAAGTGGAATGAGGGCCCGAGAGACTCAGAGGCATCACATTAAAACACTAAACAGCCTAGCATGGTTAAAGATTTTGAGTACAGCAACTTTGGCATTCTTAGTCCTATGACAAGCACACTAGAAAATTAAGAACAATGTTTGTTAATGTGTTAGTTAGGCTACGGAAAATTAAAAGAATCAAAACCAAGCCAGAAGAAAGAGATTCCAACAGATATTCTTATGTTGCCATATAATTCTTCTTAGCTGGGAAGAAAGGGTTTGTCTTGCTGCTGATTATTGAGCTGATCTCTGCAAAAAGTTTTCTTCCTTGTGACAAAATAGATGTTCATAACAGGGAGAAGAGAAAAGTAAAGATTGGAGAAATCCGTCTTTTGCTGATATTCTCAGGACACAAAGTACTCACAGAAATGCTTGTGGATGGCAAGGTGGACACTAACAACTGGGCCCTTGGTCATTGCAGTCTAGGATAGCATCTTGCTGCCTGGGCAGGGCTCGTTTCTTTTCTAGACCAGGTAGACTTGGATGGGGCGTCCCAGTTCATTGTGTGGATGCTGCATAGTGCAGGTGGTCTCCTAACCAGGTGAAAAGCCTTGATGGGCTTTTGCACAAGGACAATTTTCAACCTGAGAGGTTGTTTTCCCTTATTCTGTGTACCAAAATCTCCTATGTGAGGATATTAGGTTGTTTGAGTAGAGTAGAACTTTCTGCTTGGACTAATCCATTCTTCCAGTTTCCTTCTTGTACCTTTCCCTGTTAACATTTATTAATATAGAAAACTGAACCTTTTATGAACTTTCATCTGTTTTCTAACAATTGAACTAATGATTTGGGGTAAGTCTGTTAAAACTTGGTTATTTAGCAGAATTCTACTTTTCAAATGATAAAAAGTAATTTGTTTCCAACTCTGATATGTGGCACACTACTGACTTCATCCATTTGTAGTTAATGACCCTTTCAGTATCCTCTGCTCCAAAGATGCTGAAACTGAGACACACAGAGGGGACTTTGAGGCTAAATAGATGTACCTTGGAATGAGTGATGCTTGCGAATCATGATAAAAACTTAAAATGATTATACTGCTGTTTGTAGAAATTCTTCTACTCAAGACCATTTTTAGAATTTGTGAAATTTGCTCGTATGCACTGTCTTTGAGATCAGTATTACTGAATAGGATACAAACGTGTATCCTTCCACTCTATACACAACTCATAGCAGTGAAAAGAAGTAAATATTTTAATGTAACCTGTGGCGTGGGCAGAAAACATTGTGGTGTATAATAGGCATAAAGAAGGTTTTTACTGGCATTTGTTTGAAATGATCTGTGTAATATATTTGTGGATTTATCTGCGTGAGTTAAACAGATCTTCTGATAGCTGTGCTTATTAAAAAAAATATGTCCCATTATCCTGTTTATGTTCACCTAGCTACTTTAGTGGCCAAGGGGAAATCATGTTTTGCTTACTTGTAATCCCGACAGAATGGGGATCTTTGTTTTTTTTTTTAGTTGGCTGGACCACAGAAAAAGATTTATGAACCTGCTACTGCCTCCAAGAAACTAGATTAGGAGGTAGATCAGTACTCAAACAATGGAATTATGTTAGTCTGTACCTTAGAGTATAACCCAAATCTTTATCTTGGGCAAATTGGAGATCATGTTTTTAGAAGAAATACTGAGTTCAGTCTCTACAGTAAGTGCATTATTACCTTTTGAGGAGGAAAATATTCATTTCGCATTCTTTTTTGCAGGAAAGCAGAGGATTCCCTTTTTAATGAGCAGAAAGGAACTGGCTTGCCCTTCTAGCAACCCCCATTCTCTTGGCAACCTCTCAGCTTTCCGTGTTTCTTTGTTCTGGCTTGTTCGCTTTCCTACTCTCAAAATCACTCTGCTGAGCTTAAGTAAAGGCAAGTGCTAGTCCAATCAGCCTTACTATACAGGCTTGATTGGGAATCTTGCTGCCAAAGGGAGACTGGAGGGGAGGCATTGGCAGGTTGGGTAGGATTCTGCAAAGTTCATCCAACAATTCAAGATCCATAATGCTTTACAAAGGCAGAATGCCCTCCTCGCCCTAGCACGTAGGCAGGGTACTTCTTCCATACCACAGTGCAGCTCCACTGCCACAAGGTAAGTAAAGCTGGTCAGAATATGGATGAGCTACATCTCCTGCCAGGCACCATCACTCCCCGTTTTGCTGTTGCTACTGTGCACTACGGGAGCCCTGGCCATGGACATATCAGGGTTCGAATTACACTTTGACTCTTGGGGCGGGGGGAGGGTGCAAAAATATTAAACAGGTTCAGTGAAGGAGCAATCTGATTCCCCTGTTATGATTTCCAAATCTTGCAGGAGGGCTCTTGTCTCTTGGGCAGGGAAGGGGCGGGGGGGCTCAGCCCTCCCAAGGCCCTCCCCCCCCC